TTTGCGGATGTTGGAGAGCTGAGAGTGAAGATGAACAGCTCGAGCCCTGGATTGAGATGCAAATGTCTGGTCAAGAGCATGCCAGACATCAGCTGAAGTATGGAGGGAAGACATTTGGGCTACGATAGGTTCGATAAGTGTGGACATGATAGCGCTCAGTATTAGAGCATCCTGACGAATCCACTGAGTATGTGCAGGATTGATGGAGGGAGGAGTTGAGTCACTGGTGGAAGAAAGAGTGGCTGGAGGTTTAGGAGTGTTTCCATCAATATAACCAAATAGGTCGAGACTAAGAAAATAAGGAACAATTTGAGCTTTCCATGTTGTGTAGTTGTCCTTGGTTAATTTATGGGTGTTGACAGCAGGTGGAGTAATGAAGGTTGGAAAAGTGGCAGAGTTTGAGGAATTGAGAGAAGCCATTGTAGACGTTGGTCGACTGGTTGGCTCTAATACCATATAGAAAATAAGAGAGGAAAGTATTGTGGAAGTATTTCTCTTTTCTGTTTAGAATCGTATCATTTACATAGTATATAAAGACATACAGATGCACAACTTATGCCATGAAATGTGCTCGTCAGTTACAAAATTCAAATTCAAAAACATATAAAACAATGAAACGGTAGGCTCCAGGAATCACGGCTTTTCCTGATTGTGTGCAACATGTACTCCTTATGCTGATTTTGTGAATCCTCAGAATAATCCTTATGCTGATTTGGTGAATCTTGAGAATGATCCTCGACAATATGTAACCAAAATTCGTATGTTGGTTCATGTTTTGGTTGAAAAATGAGTTAAAGAAGGATCAAAGTTGGCAATTGAAAGTTTGGAGTAGTAACTAGGCGATTGGGCATCCAAACATGGCGCCTCCAACAACAAATTTTGGAATTGAAACTCGGTGCCTGAGCACCATTGGCAACATTGGATTGCCGCTTGCCTAGTGCTAGGCTACAACTTGAGCACCACGCGTCGCTCGCCTGTCATGAGGTTGTTGATTGAGTGACAGCTTTATTTGGAAAAGTTCTGTTTCCATTTTTCTAGCTCATTTTTTTATCCTCTTTCTATTTAAAACATATTTTTTTGGGTCCTATATATATTCTATGAGTTATATGGTCTTCATATGACTTTGCATGAGCTTTAGAGAGAACCACAACATTTTTTTTATTCTTTCTCCATCATTAGTGAATTCTTCATTCATGTGTCAAATTTCTTGTGCTCTTTTGTGTTGTGATCGCTACTTTAAGTTGTGTCATATATCTCGCTTACTTTTAACAGGTAGTATCATTCAACACATACATAATTCTTGTTAATTTGCTAAGAAGTGGTATCAGAACCAAGTTCATTGTTCTTCGTGAGTTTTGATTTATTTATTTTTTTAGATGGCAATCTTGAAGTATGATATTCCTCTTTTGGATCTCAATACAAGACCCTCACTCTGGTAGGTAAAGATGTGAACTATGCTCCTTCAGATGGATTTAGATATCGATACCTTGTTGGAATTTGACATGATGCCTTAAATTGGTCATTGGAGGAGAAACAACGTAAGGATTGAAATGCCATTTTACAAATTCATCTTCATATTTCGAATCACATTCTATGGGATGTTTTGATGGAGAAATTCACAGCTGCGTTATAGTTAAAGTTGGAGTAATTGTGCATGACTGCGAGTCTAACTAGCAAATTACACATGAAGCATCGTTTGTATTCTCACCGTATGATAGAAGATGCACCTCTATAAAATCACTTTGTTGTCTTTAGAAAAATAGTCGCTAAATTGAAGACCTTGGAGGTAATACGATGAAAAATATTTGGGGGCTAATTTTGTTGTGTTCATTGCTCACTTCATACATGTCATTTAGAGACACGATATTATATAGTCATAATACTATTGTTGAGAAAGTTTATGATGCTTTTATTGGAAAATGAGGTAGAGAAACTTTTGGAAATTTAAAATGATTTTGAACAAGGAAAAGCCGATCACGATTTTTTAATTAAGGAGAATTTCTCTTTACAAGAAAATATTTTAGATCTGATTCAAATTGTCCAAAAATTTACTCAAGGCAAAAAAAATATTAATTTAATAGTTGATGAATAAAAATGTGTTTTTGATAAATGATGAATTGAATACAAACTATTTTTAAAACAAAAGTCTCTTGAAAATTTCTTTGTTAAAGCCTCTACTTCCTATATTTCAAATATCACATTTAATTTTTGTAATAAAATTGGACGTGTAGATTTTTATTGTTCTATCAAAAAGAAATTACATTTTGAAGACAACTACAAGTAAATTTAAAATTTCACTAATACTAACTATCAAGGACACAAGGTTGTATGGATACCAAAGACCAAAAATTAAATTATTTTTTGTAGATTCCAAAGAAAATAAAGAGTAAATGGACCTTGGATAGGGATGCTCAAAGCACATGACCGAAAATCAAGTTTTATTGTCAAACTTCATAATAAAGGATGGTGGACATAATACTTTTGGAGATAATGTCAAAGGAAAAATCATTAACATTGAAATTATTGGTAATCATTCATCTCATTTTCTTGAAAATGTTCTCTTAATAAATAACCTTAAGCGCATCCTACTCAATTTTAGTTATTTGTGTGATGAATGTTATCATATCAAATTTGATTCTTCCAAGTGCTTTATTTAGAATACTGCATCAAAAGAAGATGATGTTTCTAGGAAGTCGAAGTAAGGATATTTATTTCATAAACACTAAGTTTGATTGTGGAGAAAAATGCTTATCAAATTGAAAATATAATATTTGGTAATGACATAGAAGATTAGATCATGTTATTATAAACCTACTTTTAAAATTTTCAAAAACCATTTTGTTAAAATTTTGTCAAATTTGAAATTTGAAAAAGACAAAATTTTGTGATGTATAAAAAATAAGCAGAGAGTTCTTTTAAAATTAAAGTAACATTCTTAAACTACATAATCTTTTTAACTTCTCCACATGAATATTTTTGGATCATCTAGAATCACAAGCTTAAATGATAAACATTGCGCTTTCGTCATTATTGATGACTTTTCTAAATTTACTTGAGTCCCATTTTTGAACTTAAAAAATGAATTTTTGAATGCAATTGAACATTTTTGTAAAAATGTTCAAAATAAAAAGGGATACACAATTACTATCATTAGGAGTAATCATGGTGGAGAATTTGAAAATATTGCATGTAATGATTTTTGCAAAAAATTATGGTTATGAACATAATTTCTCGGCTACTAGAACTTCTCAATAAAATGGTGTAGTCAAAAGGGAGAATCGCACATTGTAAGAAATAGCTCGAACTATGAAAATGGTTTACCACAATATTTTTTAGCCAGAGCCATTAGCATCGTTTGCTATATTGTAAATAGAATTTTTGGTGAGTCGAATGAAAACAAAAACTCCATAAAAACTTTTGAAAAATTGAGTTCCCAATAACGGTTACTTAAAATTATTTAGTTGTAAATGTTTTATCTTTAACACTAAAAAAAATTTTGAAATACTTGATTCAAAGTTCGATATTGAAATTTTTCTTGGTTATTCATCTCTGAGCAAAGTTTATCGAGTTTTCAATAGAATAACTTTGTTTATTGAAGAATCCATGCATATAACATTTGAAAAAACTAATTCTCTTGATCAAAAGAAAGGTAATAATAATGTTATAGGTTTGGAGATTCATTTTGAGCAAATAAAATTCAAAATGAAAACAAGGAAGATCATAAAGATATTGAAGATCAACATGAGGAAGAAGCAAATGTGCAACAAGATGAAGAAAAATCTTCAGAATTATAAAGTGATTAATTTCTATTTAAGTAATGGAGTTAAACAAAGTACATTATGGACATGCTTAATAAGTTTGAAATGAAAGAGTTGAAATTAATGAGCTTATCAATCAAATTGGACAAAAATGATCAAGGTACTTCTATAGACATAACAAAATATCAAGGTATTATCGGATCTCTCCTTTACTTAATTGCAACTAGACTCAATATTATATTTAGTGTGTGATTATGTGCTAGATTTCAACTCAATACTCAAAAATCACATCTTAGTGCTATAAAACGAATTTTTAGATATCTTAATTTAGAATTTGCAAATACAGAATCGGTTGATACTATCACTAAACCTCCAACGCTTAATAGATTTTCATATATTCAAAGAGGTTTGAGAATTATTGATAAATTTGAAGTATGTGGCTAAACTGAATTCGTACTAAATGTTCTCGTATGATTCTATTTGCATAATTAGTTGGAATTGATAAAAATTTTACTCAAATTATTATGCTTTTGTCATTTCATCACTCATGTTTTGAAGATTATCCTCTTATTTAAACTTGCATATATTTGGCAACTTGTACTTAATTGAGGGAGAATATATTACTATTTTCTATGGTTGATTTAAAGTTTTGATCTTATATGCCATACTTTTCTTCTCATATGTGCTACCTTTTTGCTTATGCTAAAAGGGAAAATTGAGTTAGATAAATTTGATAAGCATTAAGAATGGGGAATCTTTTATTGTTTTCTATGACCGTGTTTTGATCTTAAATGCTATATCTTTTTGCTTATAACAAAAGGGGGAAAATATATGAGATGATATGCTTGATGGGAATATGATGATAGAAGAATGTGATCAAAATGCTTGTCTTTATAAACATATGATTTAACATGAATGGCTATTGGTTTATAAAAGATAGGGGGAATATATGGATTACATGCAAAAATTAAGATTTATATTTCTTATCAATTATTCAATATTATTTTGCAAATCATATTGTTTATCATAATAAAAAATGGAAAAATTGTTGACATGTGGTTGATTATAACCTTAGAGTTCAAATTGATAACAAACAAGTTAATCTTATTTATTAATAAGTTGAATTAAAGTTATTATAGTTTTTCAAAGCATGTGATGGAAAATTGATCGATGGTCGTCAAAAGATTCCTGTGGTCGATCGGCAATTTCCAACGATCCAAAATTGGACCGTTCTAACATCTGATTTTTCTGGACAAATCGATATATTGGTCATCCATACAAGAGGCAGTCGACTGAACGTGGTCATTCGAACTCCAAGATTTTTTGACGTTTTGAAATCTATAAATACATCTACTTCTTGCATTCAACAAAACATTTTTCAAGAGCATCAAAGTGAGATGTCTTTTGAGAGAATTCTTTAAGCTTAAATTTGCATTCATTTCATTTATTTTTTCATAACAAAAACTTTGATTATTGAATCAAGTTTCTTGAATCATTTCTGTTATGAAAATTTTTCATTCCTCTTTATACTTAATTTGTTTATATCAATTTTAAAAGAGATATATATTTTTTTAAGAAGATCTTTACACTTATATTACACAAACTTTTCTACTTGTTCATATTGAAAACTTTGATTTATTGTATCAAATTTGTAAAATCATCATATTCATCAAAGTTTCTCATTTCTCTCTTAGTATTTAATTTATTACAATTATTCATTAGAGAGATATATCTTGAAAAGAATTTTGATAATATATTACATTTATTTCTTCTTCATCTTCTCACTGAAACATTTTGATTGATTGAATCTAATTTTCTATTATCATATTCATCAAGGTTTTTCATCTAACACTTGAGCAATCATTTATTATTATTCATTGAAATGTTAGCCTCTCTTATTAATTAACTTGTTTGTATTATTTATCAAAAGATGTATTCCATTATAAAATCACTTTGATAAATTGTAGGCCGTGTTAAAGTCCTTTAAGTATCAACATTGTATAAGGATCGGTGCTTCTTGTTGTAAGTCGTCGTGTGAGTAATATTGAGATCCCGTGAAAGCTCAATAGTGGGCTATGTTAAGATCTCTCAATATTTTATAAGGATCGGTACTACTTATTTGTAAATCATCGGAAGCGTTGTAAAGGGTTGAATTCCACCATAAATCAATCAACATAGTAAAAAAGCCTTGCTCGTGTCGACGATCTTGTTAACGGAGGACGTAGATTATTGATTTGGATCGAACCTCCACAATTATATTGTTTGCATCATCTCTCTTTTTTACTTATCGCTTTTATATTTGTGCTGAGTATTTGAATTAATCTATTTAGCCTTTATTTGTTTGAATTTAGATTAATTTTTCGAAAAAGTTTTAAAAACAAATCACCCATCTTAGTTAGTCATTTTTGGGCTATCAATGGGGTCAGGTGTAATCTCCCAAAAATGTTCAACTTCTGAAAAAAATTTACAGGTAGGATGGGATTGATGGGGTGGGGTGTTCATTGGCATATTATGAATTTGGTGGGGCGAGTGCGTTTAGGGTGAGGGTGAGGGTGAGGGTGAGGGTGAGGGTGAGGGTGAGGGTGGGAATACTATTAATCGGGTTACGATAATTAATTTCAATTAATTATTAATTATTAATTAAAATTAATACCTGAATTTTGAAATGATTTTACAAGTTTGTTAGTTTTGAAATGTGATTCTTATATGTAGGAGTTATGTATTATTCCTTATTTGTATTGTTCTCCCATGATCACATTTTTTTCGATTTAGGTTAATACCATTTTGCTCGCTACTATTACGAGAATGCTTTTGCTTTCCTTTTCTCTAACTACTAAAATGTTTCTGTTCGTCGGGTTCTCTTGCATGGCCTATGGATTTGGCAAAAGTTCAAAAGCTATCCTATTCGAGAATCTTAAAAAATAAATAAAAATACGCGTTTGAAGTTATGAAAGTTTAGATTAAACAGGATTCCTTAGGCCAATGTTCAACCAGCTGTTATCAGGAGGAGGTCTGGAGGAAAATCTGGAAGATTTATTCATCCAATGCTAGTAAAATGCTTCTATGGCGTGCAATGCATGAGTCTTTACTGTCTGGATGAAAATCTGGAAGATTTATTCATCCAATGCTAGTAAATTGCTTCTATGGCGTGTAATGCATGAGTCTTTACCTACCAATTTGAATTTGAAAAGACGGAAAATACGGGAATCGCCTTTGTGCCCGATTTGTACTTGGGAAGAGGAGTCGGTTTCTCATGCACTATGGTCTTGTGTGTCGGCCCAAGAGGTTTGGGGATCCAGTACTCGTAGATTCCAGAAAATGTCCTATTTTCCGAGGTACTTCAAGGATTTGGTTTGCTTCCTGTTCAATGTGTTGTCGGAGGAGGAAATGGAGATTTTTACAGCCACAATCTATTTGATATGGAAGAGGCGGAATTCCTTTGTTTTTGAAAATAAATTTGACAGTCCATCATCTTTAGCTGACTCGGCTAGACGGAATGCGCGTGCTTTCAAAAATGCTAACTACCAGCCGCTTTCCAGTTGCTTTGGGGGAACTCTTACTCCCAATTTTTGGTCAGCACCCCCTCCTAATGTGTTCAAAATTAACTGGGATGCTGCAGTTGATGTGCCTAATAGTCATATTGGTGTCGGGGTGGTCGTGAGAGACTGGACAGGTCAATTCATTGCTGTACTGCTTCAACCTAGGTCCCTTCTCCCAGATGCTTTTTTGGCAGAAGCTCTTGCAGCTTTGGCTGCTGTGACGCTTAGCAAACACTTGGAGTTGCGGTCTATCATTTTGGAAGGCGATGCGCTTAATGTGGTGAAGGGGATTCAAGGTGTCAGTGACTTTTGGAACTACCCAGGGCTTATGATTGAGGACACCAGGAATATGCTTAGTTTTTTCCAGTCTTGGTCAGTTGTTCACGTCCCTAGGATGATTAATATTGTTGCTCATACTCTTGCAAAGGAAGCACTGAAACTCTCTGAGGAGAGAATGGTGTTGGGGGAACCCNATTCCTTAAGAGGTCAAAATGCTCAAGCAATCCTATACCTAATCCAAATTCATTCATTTAATCCACCTATATGATGTCTTTTCACTAACTGCAACCAATTTTTAATCATTGCCGCCCAACTGCTACAGTTTCAATATTTTGAGGAAATTTATTATGAAAAATAATAATAAAAGAAAAACACTTTCGTACCTAACCGACATGTAGACACGACACGAGTATTCCTGTCCAATTTTATTTGTTCAAATCCTTAGCACAGAACGAGCACTGTCATAAGACAAGTTTGCAATCTATCAATTAAAGCAAAACGATATATTACTGTGGGTGCTGATTATATCGAGCATTGGCCATTATAAGGGATTTATGTATCTTAATCAGGTATTTCATAAAATAATTATGAGTAGAACAAGAATAAGTACTTAAACATTACAAAGAGCCTAGGCCACCAGTTGCTTTTACTGGTAAAAGACGGCAGACAGCATTGAAGAGGCACAACCACTCCTCTGACTTCACTGATAATTACATTTCTATACACTAATAGCATGGTATACCAAATGTTACTATCCATAACATTAATTTAGTCGAATACCTCGTGGCCATGCACAGCGATTAGTCATAAACTTGACAGGAATGAAGCTCGGGTGAAAAAAGGTCAAAAAACAAAGTGGATGATTCGATCTAGAGTCCAGTTCCCTATTCCATGTCTTTGCCACCAAATTCTCCGCCACCAAATGCCGCCGCCGCTGCAGCAATGTCAAGGCCATTATTGATGGATGTCATTAAAGCCGATAGCCCACCAGATGGGCTGCCACTAGCAGCCATTCCTAATCCAAGGAGGTCAAGGGTGGTGTGTTTAGGGCAAAAAACAGATGGAGTCCCCAACATCAATTCCTTCAAACTAGAACCTCCATCACAGGTCAATCCTAATCCAAGACCAGCAGCCAATGGTGCACCCTCTGGCTTAATTTGTTGTCCGCTCCACTCCTGCAGACCACTAGAAGGTGAGGAAGATACAATTCCGAGCCCCCTCAACAAAGATGCATTCGACGCAGCTGCACCCATCTGTGCAGCCTTTTGTAGCAATGCTGTTGCAGACATAGCAGCAGGTTGAAGTGCTGGAGCATATTGCCTGTACTCTTGCCCTGCTGTTTCAAAAATAGACGACCTTTGATTCGTAGCAAGGCAGAGGGACACGGGTTCTGAAGATGAAGATGGTGCAACATCAGCTGTCTGCTCGGGGCGAGCCAGGGCTTGAAATAAGTTGATGAATCCAGTTGTTTGAGACTGCAAGCTTCCTGAGGTCGTCGATGAAGCAAATAAGCTTGCAAACGCATTACTACTTGTACTTCCACTACTGCTAGAACTGCTAACGCTGCTAAAGCTTGTGGTTAGGCTGGTGACTGGCGGGGGCAGGGTTGAGGTCTCTAGAATCTGTGTGCTAGTGTGACTGGGATTGCTGCTTTCGACCAATTCTGTAGATATACCAACATCAAGAGGAAAAGAAACAGAAAAGAATTACTCATTGAAAGGACTAAAGCAGCAATAAAGGCTGAGCTTTTCTCTTTAAAGAAATTTATACGAAGCGAAAAGAGAATCAATATTAGTTTCCTTTCTAAAGTCCACTTTGCTCTATTTTGTTAGCTTTTGGATCTCATTGCTTCTTACTTTACCAAAATGTTTGCTTAGATGAATCTTAGTTCATAATTCTCTCACATGATTTCTTTTTCTCCATTGAACTTCTTTCTAGTTCTTTTACTTTCAAATCATTATTAGGTTTTAGTCTTAACATTTTTAGCAGATAACAACAAATACCAGTAACAGACAAAATACAGCTAAACTCCAAGAACAAAGACATATAAACAACAAAATATTTTTGTTGGTTTCTCAAATTAATACATATAGACAACCTCCAAATCTAAAACTGCAAATATCCAATTTTCAATCAAAATACCTGGATTTTGAGCAGGCAAAACAGAGGACACTACACCAGTCGAAGAAGAAATAGTCGATGCTGGAGCCTGCGGTGGTGGTGCCACTGTGGGTGGTGGCAATGTTGGTGATGATTCAACAGCTTGAATTTGCGGTTCCTCATCAGCACTTGGAGGTGCCATCGCTGTATGCGTTTTTGCACTCTCCTCTGCCAATGCATCACAAAAGGCCCTATGAGTTATGAAACTGTCCCTCCTGCATAACAGTCAAACAAAAATCAACAACAAACATCTAAAATCAATTCACTAAAAGCAAAAAAAAAAGGTACAAAACTGCTATAAAGATCGAATCTTGAACCTTGAAAACAAAGTCCCACAATCACATTTATACTCTTTAGTTCCACAAATCTTTGAATGAGCCTTCCAATCCGATTGAACCGCATATTTCTTCGAGCACTTGTCACATTTCCACTTCTTCTCTCCATGTTTTCGACAGAAATGCTTTTTGATCCCCGTCAAATCGCCCAATGCCCGTGAAGGGTCGTGGTGAACGCAACTCGGCTCAGGGCATACATAGACTCTTTTCTTTGGCTCTTTACTTAACCTCTGCTTCAGCTTCCAAGGCAAATTGTGACCCCTCCTGTGAAGCTGCAAATTCTGGTCTCTCTGAAACCCTTTATTGCAAATTTCACAAACAAATCGATTCGTTGCCAATAAAGCCTTCGGTGATAAAGCAATCACCTCGGCATCAGGATCTAACAACAAAATTATAAAAAAAAAAAACCCACAATCAAGATTGCATCATCTTCTTGAAATACTACCAAGAAATTAGATAATAATTGGCTTTTGTTCTACCTGGCATCCCGGGGAGATTACGCTTTTTCTTGACACTTGGTTTAGAAGGAGCTATTTGATTACCTGAAGAGGAATCTCCAGAAGCTGTGTAATCATTAACTGTAGAAGAATTATCTAAATCAGCTGGCATTTCTGAATCAGTCAAATTGACCAATATCTGGCGGGCATTTATACTTGAGAAAAAATTATGCAAAATCAGTTGATCCCAAACCAGTTGTCGAAGATAAAAAAAAGTGCAAATTTCTAAATTAATGAAATGGGTTTTGGATTAAAAGCAAATTTGTAGACAAATATAAGTGACTTTCAGGACACGGCTCTGAATCTTATCAATAAATTGCATAGCTACTTCAATGTCCAAATGCTACGTATGATGCAAAAATATGATACAAAAGCCTAAATTTGAGGAAGCGTTTCTGAAAATAATCAATTATAGGCAGCTAAAAACGCCGGAGTGTTGACGTTTCTTGAGTCGGCGGCTTCGAAAACTAGAGAGAGAAAGAGAAAATTTAGGGAAGAGAGCGAAAAAGTCTACTGTGAGTTTTGCTGTGTGTGCAAAAGTATTCCGTCTTTTGATCGTCTTCACACTTCACTCACTACTTTTGAGAATCAAAAGAAATTGGGGAAATTGCACTATTGGTCCTTAACTTGTTGTCCTAGTTGTTAGGGCCGAATAATGAAACCGTCGAACCATCAAACCAAACCGAAATCACTTTTTTGAAATCGTTGATTTGGATCCACGTGGATTGTCAATGTTTTGGTCTTGAACCGAAACAAACCGCTTCAAAATGGTTTAGTTTATATTTTAATATTTGCAAACCGTTTCAAACAGTTTTAAAAAAATTGAAAATAAATAATTTAACTTTTATCCAACTTAATTGAAGTTATGCATATCTCAGTTAAAAAGATACATTCTTATTAGGATAACTCAATTAAACTCAATACCTAAATAGATAGTTGTACATCCCATTAATTTGTACCCAAATGCCCATTTGTCATTGCAACTATGAATGCAAAACTCTCAAATTCAATGAAATGAGCTGTTGGATAACTGTTGCTGAACTATATTCATCAATCGTCAATTATAATTGAGTAAACAATTATATCTAAATTTAAACTCAAACTCGCACATTTCTTTTTCTTTTACTAATAAATTTCTCGAATTTCGATTAAATTTCCAAATCAGTCTATCCAAATTTTCTTATATTTTCATAATTGTGTTGCCATTTTATTTATACTTGTGTTGTTTTGTTCTAATATGTGTCATGCTAAGTTAAATGTTTAGTGGACAACATTTCTTGTTTATTTGCAACTTAATTTCTAGATTTTACTAATAATTGCTAGAATGATTTGGTGGATTACTTAAATGGTCCTTTTGAAGATGACAAATGAACCTTTTGATATATTATTTTGGTGGAAATTGAATACAAATAAATACAAAGATTATCTCCCAAATTGCTAAAGATATGTTAGTTATTCAAATATTCACAATTGTTTCTGAGTTTGATGTGGTTGGACTCTTGATTCTTTTAGAAATTTTTTGAATACAAATATGGTTGAGGCGATGATTTAATTCGTCAATATTAGATGAGGTAAAGCATTAATTGATTCACAAAACTTTATAGAAAGTATTATCATATTTGATCTTTCTATCATTTTCTTTTATTAGTTGTTTCATATCATGTAACTATAGTCACTAAATTCATGTACTATATTCTTATATTTATGGAGTGAATGAATTATGTATTACAATTGCAAATGTTGCGTCATCAACATAGACTAAGGAGTTAAAATGTTTCTATAATATTGTTGTATTATAATGATTAGAATTATAGAACTTTGGTTTGTAATATTTTTAATAATACAATTTATGTTTTAACGTGAAATTTTAGACTAATATTTAAGATTTAACTTATTCGATATGTGTTATTTATTTTTATTTTATTTTTTGTTAAATCGTGACTTTAAATCAAACCAAACCAAAAAAGTGGTGAATTGGTTTGGTTTGGAAAAATTACAAACTGCTTTAAATGGTTTGGCTTGAAGATTTTTTACAAACCGTCCAAATCGAATCGTGTTCACTCCCACTAGTTGCAATTGGACTCGTTGTTGATACTTTTAACAAGTTATTCGAATAGCAAATACTTGGGTACAAAACCGCTAATCTTAGGGATTTTAGTCCAATAACAATATCATAACGATAAGCAAATTTAAAGTCTACGACTATTCTTTCTTAACTATCTTATGAAAGGTACGATAAAGGATTACAATTCTATATTTATCCACACTACAGTACACTTGAATCTATCTTCTTTTAGTGCTTGTTTGATAGAAGGCTTTGTTGAAGTTTGATCAACTTCTCAATTGGTCAATCTTATCTTAACCATACATTTTATCAAATTCACAACTTTTATCAACTTTTGAATAACACGTTTTAATAATTTTTATCAAAATCTTTAAAACTTTTTGTCAAAAGGTTTGCAAACAACCCCTTAGTTGCAAGATGCAAAAAAGACAACTATGATAGCCCAAAGATAACTAATCAAGAGGGGGTGAATTGATTTTTTAAAAAACTTTTTCGAAAAACTAATATAAATTCAAGTAAGTAAAGACTAAATAGATCAATTCAAATGATAAGTGCAAATATGAAAGTGTTAAGTAAAAAGAAGAAATGATGCAAACGATGTAATTGTCAAGGTTCGATCCAAAGTAATGATCTACGTCCTCTGTTACCAAATTCTCTGGTACGAGCAAGGCATTTTCACTATGTTGTCCAACCCTTTACAACATTTTCGATGACTTACGAACAAAGAGCACAGATCCTTATAAAATGTTAAACTTTACGGGGCCTCAATATGATCCACTATTGAGCTTTAACGGAACCTCAATACGACACACACTATTCACTTTTACGGGACCTTAATATGACCCACACGGTGACTTACAACAAGGAGCACCGATTCTTATACAATGTTGATCTTTATGAAACTTCAAAGACGACCCACACTTTATCAAAGTGATTTTACAATAAAATTTCTCTTTTGATAAATAATACAAACAAGTTAAATACTAAAAGAGGATAATACTTCAATAAGCAGTAATAAATTAAAACTCAAGTGTTAGACAAATTTTTTTGATGTATATAATAATTAGAATTTTGATTCAATCAAAATAAAATTTCAATGAGAAGATGAAGATGAAGATGAAGAAGAAATAAATGCAATATAAGTTCAAAAATTTTCTCAAAATATATATATGTTTTAATGAATAATTGTAATAAATTAAGTATCAAGAAAGAGATAAGAAACTTTGATGAATATTATGATTTTACAAGTTTGACTCAATCAATGAAAATTTTCAATATGAAATAGTAGAAGAAATATATGTAATGTAAGATCAAAGATCATCTTTAAAATATGTCTCTTTTATGAGTAATAGAAATATTTATAGAGTTCAAAATGTCAAAAAAAACTGGGAGTTTAGATGATTCGTCCAGTCAATCGCCTCTTGTCCAGATGACCAATACAACCGTTTGTATAGTAAAAACTAGATATCAGAGCGGTCAAATTTTGGAACGTTGGAAACTCTCGATCCACTGCCTCTTTCGGCAGATTGACGCCGACAGTTCGGTCTTTTTAAGTTTTGGTCCCGTTTGTTCTGATTCGAAAGTTTTGAAAGGCATGGACTTTTGGAAAGTATTTTTAACTAAATTTTCAAGTTAAATTTTTCTTTTTCAAGTCTAAATATCTTTTTTATATTTGATCAAATCATTGTATTAGAATGCCTTTTAATGCATAGAATAATTTTGAGCTTAAGCATTCATTATTAAATATTAAAGTGTTAATACATTTACGCTTTATCTAAGAAATCAAGTCATTGATCTTACTCTAAATTTTGGTTCTTAAGTTTTTGAATGTATGATTTCGATTTTGACTTCTTTCATGAGTCCAATTTGTGGTGATAGGTTTTGATTTTTTGACGACCATCAATCAAATTTCCATCGTATGCTTTGAAAAACCATAGTCGCTTAAATTCAACTTGTTAGTAAATAAGATTAATTTGTTTGTTATAATCAACCATAGGTCAACAAACTTCTTGTTGGCTATAGTTTCTAACCTTTAATGTTAAGCGAGTTGGTTTTCAACCATTGAAATAGTTGCACAAGATAGTAATAGTTCATCACATTGCCTTTATGTGTTTGACTTTATGATACTAGGTTTTGCTTCTCACGTTAGACCCGTGCCCAGAAATCTGGAGGGACATATGTTTCTATCGGCAATGTAATGATTTAATGGAGATTTGTACCTTTTTGTTTCTTAAGAGATTGATGGTGTTACTACAACTAATGATTTAGGACTAACTTGCTCTTTTATAAAGATTGAAAATCAACTTAATAATTGGACAATAAATTAAGGATTCATAAAAGAAATTAGAATATCTAACTCAAAATATAAGTAGATAGGTCTCAAGAATAATTGCTATTGTAAGATTTTTTTTTTCCTTTTTATTTTTGGTTGAATTTATGTATGTTAGGAAGTCATGAAAATGAAGCTTGAATAATGGAAGTGGTCTTCAATGAGATTCCTAACTATGGTTCGATGCAAGCTAGCAAAATTTTTGGACAGAAATTATTATAAGTGACGAGATATGCTAATTAATTAAAATTTAATGATAAGAATGAGTCGAAATAAATTGGGAACATAAGTGAAAAAATTAGAAACAACAAGGATATTCATTCCAATTAAAACGTAGTATAGATAATAAAAACTGTACTGTGAATATAATTATCCAAAAAAGGAAAATTAAGTGGCATGAAATATTTAATCTTAAAATCCATTGCAGATAATAAATTTATTTATATATTTAGATTTTTGTCGTACTATCATCTCGATCATTAAAATAATGCTTAATTGCTTCATTTAATATTTTATTAAAATATTATATGTGCTCAATTTTTATAAATGTGTAGCAATGATGATGATAAAATTCAAGAACGACTAAAAAATATTTAAGGTTTAGTTTCTTAGATGAGATGAATTTGTAATTATTTAATTTTTGTCTTTATTATATACTATTATTAACATGTCAATTTTATTTTAATTTTTTGTAAATAGGTGGTGAAACCTAAACATA